TCCATCCCCACCTCCATCCCAATCCCCATCCCCATCTCCATTCCCATCCCCATCTCCACCCCCATCTCCATCTCCATTCCCATCCCCATCTCCACCCCCATCTCCATCTCCATCCCCATCCCAGGGAAGCTCTGCCCTGGCCCCACACAGTCCTGGGGGGTCTCTCTGCCCCCCCTAGTGATGCCCAGGGCTGCCCTGGGGCTTTGGCAGGGCTGTGCCCTGGGGCACAGGGGGGGATCACGGAACTAGAGGAGCAATGGGGGCCCCAGCAGACGTGGGGTGCCCGTGGGCAGGAGCCCCCAGCAGTGCTGGGGTGCCGAGGGGCTCCCCAGGACCTGCCAACGGCTCTACCCGCCGGCAGCCCCTGCGGATGCAGGTGGCCCCGGCTCCCCAGGCAGGCGGAATTCAGCAGGGGCTGCACCCCCTCACCCACAACTGCACCAGGGAGGAGGAAACCACATGAAGAGGAGGCAGCTGGGGCGGCAGAGGCGCTGCCCAACCTGCTCTGGCACTGGAGGGGCCCCATCCTGCCCCCCAGCACCGCCTCCGACAGCCAGGGGCAGAGCACAGGGATGCTGCCAGCACCCCACACCTCAGCACCCCACACCTCAGCACCCCACACCCCAGCACCCCACACCCCAGCACCCCACACCTCAGCACCCCACACACCAGCACCCCACACCCCAGCCTGCTGCTTCTGTGCCAGCAGAGTTCAGCCCTCCACAAGGGGGGCAGCCTGGGGGCCAGGCCTGTCCCCCACAACACTGTCCCCCAACCCACTGTCCACCACCCCCAAAGCCCCTGGGAGCCACGGGCTCCAGCCCCCCTTCCCCTCTTTCTCCCAAGACACTGAGGGCCACAGTTAAGGAAACACACAGCCCTGGGGTGTGCAGGGAGCCCCAGAGCACAGGAACCACCGCTGGACCCCACGGAGGAGGCAGGGGAGCCCTGGGACAGGGGGAATGCAAGGGGGTCTCAGCCCCACACAGCAGGCCGGGGATGCCACAGACAGCCAGGGCTGTCACGGGTGGGAGGGGAATTTCCCCCTCCTCTGACGCTTCACGTGAGGCAGAAATTCCATTTTGAGGGAGTGCTGAGAGCAAGGAAAATTTAAATTGCCCCATCACAGTTTCCATCACCCCCGGAACGCGTGCTGGGGGCTCAGCCCAGGAGGAAAACCCAGAGAGGAAGGACGGGCCCTCTCCCATGTGGGGACACGCTGGTGACGCCACCTCCCCCCCCCCCCCCGGGCCGGCAGGTCCTTCCTGCTGGGACGGAGGAGGGTCCTGTCCCAGCGGCTCCTGGCACGCTGTGACCAGTGAGGGTGTGGGGTGGGATGGGCAGCAGTGCCAGCGGGGGTGATGCACCCCGAGCAGCCGGGCTGAGGGCAGGTTTCACTCCGGAAACGTGGCTCACAAACAGCTCTGTTTGCACCCCGGTCCCACGGCAGCACAAACGGCTGAGAGCTCCCAGCACAGGCCCTGCCCGGGGCTGCACCCCGCAG